TCGAGCGACGCCTCAACTCCGATCCACCGTGACAGACATTATCAACGCGAGAGATCATTCGTGAGCAAAACTCACCAAACAAATAGTCGCAATTCTACCTACACACTGCTTCAGTGGCTCGTCCAAAATAGTCAAAGAAAGATTGTGTGATGCATAGGACACCAGGTCGGATGGAATACCTTCAAGACTGTTTCCCTCCTCTGAAGATGCCCACTCCGCCAAACAAAAGGGTAGCATAGACTCCCTCGAGATCAAAGCATGGTAGGGTAGGATGGGGTAGGGCAGGACATTTAGGCGTACCACCAAACCTTGTAAATGTAAAAACGTCAAGGTTTGATGACTCCTTGATGGCCAAAAGGAGACTTTCCAATTTGATGTCCTCATTACTTTGAGACATCATTGCGGGTTTCGTGCATAAGCGAACACAAACAGGCACATACACATAGAGAAATAGACTCACAGGGATCGAAGTTGACATATGACCGTAACTAACCAAATCAATTTATGCTTGATCAGAGTCCAGCTGTAGAATATATATACCACTTTTTGGGGGTTTGTCGGTGACTTTTCTCGACTCGTTAGCTTGAATTTTGTTGCGACGATGATAACTTGGTCTGATGATGTTCGTCATATGACGGACGAAAGCTTAGCACCTTTTCACAGAAATCGAAGGAGATTACCTCAGAAACAGCGTCAGTATGAATGTTTCAGTAAAGCCAATCGACAGCTGGTGAAGAGGAATCCTCCGTCGTCTTCTGATGGAACCGACCTTCGAATCTCTTCACCCAACACTTACTCGAGATTCAAGCAACCTCAACAATGCTGATTTATTTCCGAAGGAAACAGCTGCTACCACTTCCTACCTATGAATTAACTCCATTCTGCGGCGAGCATGTAAAGTAGATAACGAGATAAGCGAGATAACCAAGGAAGCGTACATAAAAAGTGACGGGTTGTAGCCGGCCTAGTTTTATCTTGGTTCCATATATTTTTGGGCTACTCCGTAAAATGCGGGTTTTTGCTATCATGATATCTGCAATGGGGATAGACAAAAGTTCAGCTCAGGTTGATCGGTGTCGCAGGACGGTGAGCAGAAGATGTCTTAACACAGTTCATAGCCCCCATTTAACTCCGATCTCCTCCGGCTTACCTCAACCAACTTGTGGGAAATGGAAATTCATCATAAAATTGTCTTGACTCGTCACTTTTACCAGTTTTAACTTGCTACTAATGCTGCCGTTTGTGTGACGGTGCCGAGACCTCGGGGAGCTTATATACTCCGCAGTCCGATTCTGGTCCTTATTATGAATACTCTGGCAAACGGACAATAGGTTCGAATTTTTACATCTTTAGTCGCGTTGTGTATAGAATTTAGCACGGAGCAAGAAACTTGCGCACACGCAAACTTACCCACTCCAGCCTCAACATGCCCGAGACATGAGACCATTCTGTGGCCTTTTGCCGGGCCGCCTCGTAATTTGACATTTCCAGATAATACCGTAATCTAATACGAACATTCCGCCCTTATGAGACAATTCACCGCATATCTTTCTTCCAGAGGCGATTCCCTTTGCAACTTTGCACACAATTTATGCATCAACCATTGCGCTACCCACAGCGCATATGCTTGAACATCTTGTTCCATACAAATAGGTGCGTGTATACACTAAAAATGAGCAAGGATGCAATAGAAACACTCAGGACCCAGAGGACGACAGGATAATAGTTGGCACTCAATTTTTAGCAGGTCGTCCCGTGACATAAGGATCATGAAGAACGCCGCGATCAAGCCCGCTTGTAGCCACACTGAAAGCAAGCTAGGCCAAGTCTGAGGTCAGCGATAGTCGGAAAAGAAAACCGAGACCAACGCATCCTCGGCAGAAGTGTAAAATTTCCTAAAAATCCTTCATTCTAAGCAATGTATACAATAGTGGAAAAGAACAGCAAAAAAATAGAGCAATCACTTTCTGAATATAGAAGGGCCGAGTCCGATCGAGTGGTAGAAGCAAGAAGGGAGGGAGACTGAACTGGTGCTCTCAAAGGATCAAGCTGGCAAGGCCAGCATGCTTTCTGGTCCGAGCAGGAATTGTAGGAATGAAACGAGTCAGTATGGCATAAAGTAATGCGATAATATGCCGACGCAAAGGTTCGGATAAATAATTATCCATCAGATTATTTATGACGAAGATACTCTATTATAAGAACGAAAGCATACAATACAAGTGGAGTGCAAGGATATTACATGTGCAGACAAGGAATGGGGAAGTTGAGGGCGGCTCTGTTGACAAGTTAATGCAGCATATTTCATAAGCAAAGCGGGAATCTGGATAATCAATATGGATTAAGAGCTATGGAGTATGCAAGTGAGGAATCAAAATTTGCTTTGGATGGTGTCAAACATGCAGAAGAGTAGAAACAACGAATACGATAGAGGCAAGGAGACGAGGTCCGATTGAATAAGATTGATGAGGCGGGAAAAGGTGGAGCTGGCAGATAGTGATACACGAGTACAGAATCCATGAGATCCGGCATAGCCAGACGCGCTGCCGGACGAGACAGGAGACTGCCCAAGAGAATACTTCGGCCAGTTCTACACTCGAGCAGGTTAACGTAGCATCAGCAGGAAAGGGAAGAGATAAGCATGCCAACCGAACCGGAGGATGGCCGAGGAAGACCGAGTCACCTGAGCTGAAAATGAAAAAGAAAGTTTGGTTACCATGTATCCAGCAGTAAGTGATCCAATACATTTGATGTAACTGACAAACATACACATTCGGACAGCCCAAGCGCCTTCGGCTCTGCAGTTAAATGGCATTCGTCCGCAATATCACAGCCAGAGCCGGATCTCACTCACAAAAACGTAAACGGCTCCACCACCCGCGCTAAATAAACTGAACTCATGGAAAAAGGTAAATGTGCATTGCAAAGATTATCA